AAGGAAATAAATGGGGGCCATCAACAAGAACAAAAGCACATTTGAAAAGGAGCTATAAATAGAGACATAAAAAGAGAAGCACATAAAAAGAAAGACTCGACAGAAGAAAAAAGGTAAAGGCTTTACCAAAAAAAGAGTAACTTATTACAACTTGATAAAGGTAGAACCTTTATCTCTTTAATTAGTTTATTTGTATACAAAGCTACTATATTTTCATAAAAGATCTGAGGTATAAAGTTATGGTTATGTTTTTTTGCATATGTTTCACTATCATCCTAATGAAAAAATGAAAAAGTTCAACGACATAAGCTTTTAAGATAAAATAAAAGAATATATGAAAACCAATAATGGAACATACAAAAACAAGGAAAGAAAAAGTTGGATGCCTTGGCTCGTACCTCCCTTTGAATATATTAAGAGCTTTATCTCTATTTTTAGGATAACATCGATCTTACAGTAAAAAATTTTTTTTTGAAAAAAGGACTTTTAAAGCCCATAACTACAAGAAGAGATAAAGGATCAACTAGAACAATAAAGACGATACCTTTGATCCCAAAAATAGTGAAATGATTGGTTAAAAAATACATCTTTTATCTGCTATATTCACAAGTAATGATTTCATGTTTATTTTTCTCTTTCTTTCTTTTCATGCATGGAGTTTCTACATGAAAGCATGAAGTTCTAATCCTTTTAACTTTTTAGTCTTTTTTTTTTTTTATGCTATGCTAAGCCATCATAGATATGTACAAGGTTTCTTTAGCTTGCTACATAAGTATATGAATAGGAACCTAATGCTCCATCATTCTTTGAGCCTATTGTTTTATTCGTCCATTAAAGCTTAGAGCTTTACATGTTTTTTAGTTTGCTGCATGGGATTTTTCTGTGGGGGGAAGGGAAAAGTTTGAAGCTTTATGTGTTTACTGCTTTTGGAAATAGTATGGTTGTTTGAAAAAAAAAATCACACTAAAAATATACCATGTTACTACCCTATGCTGTTTCAAAAAGGCCAAACTATGCTGTTTGCTTCCTATTGATAGTCACATTTTAAGCCCCTTCATAAAGTTTTATTCCTTGTTTCATTAGCTGCTTGCCTTTCTTTAGTTTTATTCTTTTATTATCTTTCTTATGACCTATTTTAGATATGAATTTAGAGAATGTTTTAGACATGATTTTATGCAACATTTTGTTTACTATTAGCATGTTATTTTAGTTGTTCAATAAGGCAACTGCATGTAGTTAGTACCTTTTGGCTTAGTTTTAATCCTACTTGCCAGGAGTCCCATTTGTTTCATTTCCGTTGCTACTTGATCATGTGCAGTTTTAGGTTGATATAATTCCTATGTATCCCATTTGAAAATAGTATTTTAGAAACTAAATTTTGTAGTTTTTATTCACATCTTTTATTTAAATTTATGCACTTTAATCTACCTTGCAATTCATTTACATGCACTTTACATTTCCCACAATTCAATTTATCATGCATTTTTAATTTCTATACTAGTTTGTTTACTTGCAATTTAATATTCAAGATCAATTAATTTTTTATTCTTTCTTACTTTTATGCTCTTTACATTTCCTTATAATTTAACTTGATGCTCTTTACTTATCATGCTTTTTAAATTTAATCAATTTAATTTTCATTGATATTTAGTTTATGAAATTTTACTATTATGATTTCCTTTCAATAAATAATAAAATAAAAATAAAAATAAAAATAAAAATCTTTGAGGATGAGATTTTAAAGAAGTCCAAGTAACGATTCATTAAAATTTTTAGGTAAGGATGTTTTTCTAAAAATACTACTAAAGTAATGGAGTATTTAGGAAAATATTCAATACAAAAGATTTTTCATTCATTTATTTTATTAATATATATATAACTTAATGATGATCAAAGGAAAAATTAAATGATGAATATTACTTGTGATGATTCATTAAAATAATGATACATGAATATTATTTGTAATGATTACTTATTTTTGCTTTTAAAAAAAATCAATAATAACAAAGACAAAAAATAAAAATAAAAAAGGAGTAAACAAAATGAAAATCTCTAAGGATGGGATTCTAAAGTAATCCGAATAAAAATTCTTAAGAAATCTCTAGGTAAGAAAAGTCTTAAAATGCCACCAAAGTATTAGGTATCTAGAAGAAATTTTCAATAAAAAGATTTTCTATGTTTTATTTCCTTAACAAATTAAAACAATATAAAATATTAATAAAAAATGATAATGAAATAATTAGGCACTTAAAATAAAAATAAAATAAGTAATGAAAAAGATATAACATAGGGAAAAAAAAGTGAGATGATTAAAAAAAAAACAAACAAGCAAACAAACTTTTGCATTTATATCACACTTTATCATCTATATTTCATAATTTTGAAAATAATGTGGATTTTCATTGATGGGATTCTCAAGATGTTTGAGTAATAATTCTTAAGGAATCTTTATGTGAGAAATTTTTTTTAAAAATATTGTCAAAGTATTGGGGTATTTAAAATAATTTTCAATACAAAAATTTCTTGCTAGCAAAAATGAACTTTTATACAATGCAATAGTGTTATAAATTAATCTATGTATATTATATTTTATTTATACACAACAATTTTGAAATAAAAAAAATCTTCAATGATAAAATTATATGAAAATCCGAGTAGGGATTTTTTAATAACCTCTAGATGAAAAACTTTATCTAAAATTCTGTCAATATACTAAAGCATTTATAATAATTTTCAATAAAGATTTTTCATTTACTTATAAATAGAACAAGAAAAGAATTTCTATAAATTGAAAATATTATTTTGTTTAAATTTTGGGCATCACATCTCATTTTCTTACTTTTAAAGATAAATATGAACTATTGATGATGTGATTATTGAAAAGTCTAAATGGTGATTCTTAAAAAATTGCTAGGGTAAAAAGTTTCTTATAATATTGTCAAAGTACTAGAATATTTTTAAGAAGTTTTCAATATGTAACGTTCATATTTATTTTTCCAACAAACGCCTAAAAATAAAAAAGATTTTATTTTACTACAATAAGAGAAATTATGGAAATTATTTTTAAATATCAAAAGTAAGATCATTTTTGTCAATATTAAGGATAATTTATAGTTAATTGGTATCATTTTTTAAATCAGGTCCTTTGGGGGTGCTAATATTTCTTTATGCATAACCATACTCCTAAACTCAATTTTGCTTTTCATAGACAAAAAATTACCCTTTCAATAAAGTTTTAATTAATTTTAAATTTTTTTAATAAAACGTTGTAATTGGTGGCAGATCACACTAGCCAAAAAAACTTAATGACGACTTATTGTGTTTTTAAATTCGTTTAGCAATCCTCAAAGCCATTACAACATGTACCATATATTTTCTGTCAATTTTGTACTTAAAAAAATAAAATTATCAATTTGGCATTCTAACTTTTAGTTTATTATTCACCTTGATACTTGAAACTAACACTACTAATCAATATGCTAATATAGTATAAAAGTCCAATAAGATATTGATTCGTGTAAAAAAAAAAAATGTAATCCATATCACCTTATCAATTCTTACAATAGTATTAAAAGAAAATTTTAAAAAACTTAAAAATTTTGAAACAATTTGAAATATTTAAAAAAAAATTAAAAAACTAAAATATTTTAGAAAATTAAAAAAAATATTATGAAAACTTGAAATTTTTAAAAATCTTAAAATTTTATTAAAAGACAAAATAAAATTTTGAAAATTTCAAAAAATGATAATTTTAATAAAATAAAATTTTATTAAAAATAAAAAAAATTGAAATAGTTAAAAAAATTGAAAATAAAAAATAAAATATTTTTTAAAAATCTAAAAATTTTCAAAAATATTTTAAAATTACAAAAAAATTATTTTTTTTAATCTTACAGTTTTAATTTTTATATATTTTTTGAAATTTTCAAAATTGTTTTGAATTTTTTTTGTTTTTGAAATTTTTTATTTTTTATATATTGTTAGAATGTTTCAGATTTTTCAAAATTTTTAATTTTTCATAAAATTTTAAAATTTTTAGAATTATTTTAAAATTTTTTTGAATATTTTTAATTTTCAAAAAATTATTTTTTTCAAATTTTCATTTTTTTTGCATTTTTTCAAATTTTTTTTTATTTTTAAATTTTTATTAAAATTTTGAAGATTTTTAAAATTTTTAAAATTTTCATTATTTTTTAATTTTTATAATTTTAAAAAATATTTTAGATTTTTTTAAAATTTTTTTTAAAATTTTAGATTTTTTTAAAAAGTTTTTGTAACTCTAACATGATAATTAATAATGTGATATTAATTAAACATTTTTTTTTTTTTGCGTTATTGTTAAGATCTAGTTGGATGTTTACACTAGCAAATTGACTAATAGCATTAATCCAAAGTAACAAAATTAATTATTACATTAAAATTAAAATATTAAACCAATAATTTTATTTTCTTACATATTTGAACAATTTTTTATTTAACTATTTCTTGGTTATAAGAATCTAAAAGGCATATGGGCCTTTATCTAACAGCAACATGGACCCCGGATTCAACGCATAAGGCGTTCTCGGTCCTAAGCATAATCGTGTAAATGTTGTTTCTACACTGTTGTCCTTCGATACAAAATAGATAATGAGTTTATATATACAGTCACTAAATTTTATGTATTTTAAATAAATTAAATAATATTATTTCATTAATAAATAAATATTAATTATTAAAATAAATATATAAAAATTAATATTTTTTAAAAATTTTATTTATTAATAAAATAATATCATCTGATTCATTTCATTAATAAAATGATATTATATATTTATCGATAATATATAAAATTTATATATTAAAAGTGTGTTAAATATAAATCTATAAATAAATAAATAAATAAAATGCCAAATTGATTTTATCAATTCAATTTCTGTAAATCACTTTTTAACCACATTTACAGTCTGGATATCTATGAAACGCAGACAAATGCAAAGCCAATCTTGAATACACAGCATTTTATAATAATAATAATAATAATAATAATTTTAGCAACTTCATTTAATTTACAATATCATACAAGAGCAAGGACAAACATGTTGCTATAAATGTTATTGTTGGACATCATTTTTGTTAACAACAAGAACGGGGCACTTGGCATTCTTCAAACAATAGCTGCTTAAACTCTCTTGAAAAACCCTGTTCATGAAGTTCACTTTAGTTCCCCAGTGCAGAAACCTTTGTGAATTAGTCTTTTAAATAATTAATTAAGTAGGCAATGACTAGATTAATTGAACTTTTGATTGAGATCAGGAAACTTAACCTTTGGAGAATTCCGTCAGCTTGGTCACCTACCACAAGTAAATTGATTTTGTAATTCTCAACTGCATTGCATATTGCCTCCTTAGGATCCCCAACCTCTGTAACTGTCTCTACTTTCACCTGCCAATACCAATGCACAGAAAGTTCATTAATTTATCAAATGACTGCCGGTCACCCCTCCCCTTTCCTAATTCCTCCCAACCATCCAAAGCCAGAGTGTCAAAATACAGAAACATACAATTCGGGGGAGAAATTAAAGTAAAAAAAATTGTAATAGTACTATGGCCCTACTCCATGGCTTGTACAGATGCCTTTGGCTTTCTCCAAGAGACCAAGCGACACTTTCCTATTTTGCTCTTTAACAAAGTCTATCCAATCTGGGGCTGCCACAACCGATTTAAAAGTGATATTCAACAAATCTGATATTGAAATTCTAACATACGCGATCTGTTTTTCAATCCCCGGCTTCTATGTTAAAACCAAAATGAAAAAAACCAAGAAAGGGAAAACTTAACTGGCTGACTCCAGACAATACATGCGAGCAAACCCAAGTTGTGCCGCAAATATATGGTACTTAGAATTGGGAAGTGGCTGTGCGGCAAAGATGACAAACGGTGACTTGGTGATTGATTCCTTGAGATGTTTGAGCGTCCAAATGAGTGCATGATAGCTGCAATCTCTTTCATCTATGGCCACCATCACCTTCTTCTCAAACTGCGGTTTTTCTCCCTCCATATTTTTTGATGATAAAGAAAGCTGATACAAAATTTATGGTCAGTCTGCAATAGGAGTCCTGCAAGGCTCAACTAAGGCTTGAAACTGGTTCACAAACTGAGTGCTTTAGCTAATCTACGTCAATCAACATCTGCTTTACCTCTAAGGTAAGCAATGCATTAATCCTATAGACAATCCAATAAGATTTTGTTTTGAGAGTCAATTTTTACAACCACAAGGCTAGCTCTCCCTATTCCCTACTCCCTACGCTACCTAATTTAATACAGATATTTCAGTAGTAATATCATCTGACATAACAAAACTTAAAGTTTGAAGAAACATATATAGTAACATGAATAATCAGAAACTGTTTTCATAATTTTATTTCGAAAGTAATCAGAAATTGGTAATTGATGAGGAGGGGTTGGTACGCTGGTAGAATGTGAGGTATTTCTGCTAACTTTACTAATTTCCCATCCTGCTTTCGATGCCTTGACATAAAGTGTGTCATAACGTTTAGATCCGGGGATTTTCGTTACATGACTTTTATCGTATCTTTTTTATCTTGCATTGCCACCTAAAATTGTCCTTCAGGACACTAAAATTTCTAAAAGAATATGTCTCTAATCAGAACAGTTGAGTTCGATTAATGTGAAGAAGGTTATATCACTCTCACAACGCCCACCAAAAGATGGTACCAGCTTAAATTTGTGTTATCCAATTAGCCTTAAAATTTTACCAAGTAATTAGTTATCGAAAATTATTCTCAATTGACTCTAATACTTTTAGCAGAAAATTGAAAAAATTCCCTCACCTCAAGAGTATGCAAGAAGAACTATTGTTTCACTTGCAGAGGCTCCGTTGTCGGATTAGTTAAAGAAAAATCAAAATCAAAGTCAAAATAGAAAGGAAGGAAAGATGATTGTTCTTGTGTAGGAAAAATTGATACTTTCAACTTTTCCCAAAAAATATTTTTTTTGAAAATTTATTTTTAAGGAAAATTGATACTTCCAACTTTTCCTCAAAAGTATTTTTTTTTTGAAACTTTGATTTTCAAGAAAAATTGATACTTTCAACTTTTCCTCAAAAATCTCTTTTTTGAAAATTTACTTTTAAGAAAAATCGATACTTTCAACTTTTCCCTAAAAATATTTTTTTAGAAATTTTGATTTTTAAGGAAAGAAAATAGAATAATAAAAAAAAGTGAAAATAAATAAAAATAAAAAATAAAGAAAAGTAAAATAAAAATAAAAATAAGATAAAGATAAAAATATTAAATAAATCTAATATAATAAATAAATAAATAAATTAAAAAAAAAACCTGGAGCGGCTCGGCTATCGGCTCGGCTCAAGGCAGGGAAACGGCTCGAGGGGAGCGGCTTGGCAGCTTGGCTCGGCTCGGCTTGGAGGGGGGCTGGCACGCTCGGGTCAAGAAGCGGGTAGACGCTCGGGTCGGGTCGAGTTTTGGCAAAACGCGCGGATCCTCTGATTAACTTAAAGCCAAAACGACGTCATTTTGGGAGGGTATAAAAGGCAGTTCCTTTCGTTTTTCGACAGAAACCTTCTCCCCTCTCTCTCTCCTCTCCCTTCTCTCTAAAAGCTGAAGAACACCAGTGTAAGTTTCACCGAATTCTGGAAAATGTCACCGGAATCTGGAAATTTCATCGGAGGTTCGCCGGAAGTTGGCCGGAAGATCATCGATTTTTGGGGTTCTTCGTCGGAAACTGGGCAGGTCACCGAAAATTCAAGGTTGGCCGGAATTTTCGTCGAAAAATTCAAACTTCGTCGAAAAATGCAACCGGAATATGAAATTTTCCAGAAATTCCCAGAAAAAAATTTCGAAAAATTCCCAAAAAATTTTTGATGATTCCTAGAACTTTTCTAAACCTTTTCTTAGCCTTCTATACTCTTCTCTACGCCTTTTCCTCTCAAATCAATAGCTCTGGCTCACTGTTTTCTTTTTCTGTTCTTCATTCTGTTCCAGAGGGGGTCCTTTTTATAGGGATTGATCAGGAGTTTCTGATCAATCCCAATTCCTCTTTGGACGGGGATTCAATCTTTGAATCCAATCTAGACTCTTCTGATTGAATCCCAATTCCCAGTAGGATTCTTCAGCTTCAATCTCAACCTTCCAAAATAAAAATCAAATAAATATAAAAAAATAGATAATTAGAACAGATAAATCGAAAAAAATAGATATATTATAGGATAAATAAAAAAAATAACAGATATATAATTAGATAAATAAAAATAAAAATAAAAATAAATAAAATATAAAAATAATAATAATATAATAATAAATATATAACTATATAAATAATATACATATAAATCTATTCTAAATAAAAAATTAATAAATAAATAAATAAATACAGATATACATATATTAATACATAATAATAATAATAAATATAAAAATACAAAAAAAATACAGGATTGAATTGGGCCTTACCCATTTGGGCCAGGCCCAATTGATTTGGGCCTGGACCCAATTGGGTGTCTACAAAGTGTAACCTAAAAATTTATTGAGAAGATAAATCATATTTAAAATTTATGAAAGCACATTAAGAAATTTATATATACATATTATATATCATTTGAATTCAAAATTTTAAGCTATTAAATTTTTAAGTCTTTTATGCATATATAAAATATTTTATTCAAATTTTTTAATGATGTGAGATTTTTTATTCACATGTGAACTATATTTTAATAATCTCTCACATTCACTTGTGAGTTTTGATCAAGTCTCACCTTAGCTCTTCGTGTGAGTAAGTCCTATTAACACCTCTTTTTGGTAAAAAACTTCACATCTCTAATGCGTTTTTAGGCCAGACAATAGCATTTAACCTTGTCACCTAGGTTATTTTAGTGCTTCCTCAAGCTTACATTCCAGGTTGATTCAACCATCGCTCACTTTGATGTTCCACTTCTGTATATTATCATATACCCATTACATTCAAGTCAAACATTTTAATACCGATGTTTGAGCACATAGAGTTGATGGACGTGACTAATCTCTGATTTACCAAAAATCTCCCCCTCAATAATATTACTAGGACTCGAACCCATGATTTATTGGCTCTGATACCAATTATTAAGGAGATAAACCACACTTAGAGCCTATGAGAGCACACCAAAAAGCTCATATATACATGTTAGATATCAATTGAGCCCAAAAGTTTAAGCTATTAGGTTCTTGAATCCTTCATGCATATATAAGACATATCATCAACATATAATAAAAAAGTAATAAAATTACCATTAGAAAATTTTTTGACATACACATAAGGATTTGTTGCTGTTCTTTTATAGCTGTAGCTCACCATAAAAGAATTAAACTTTTGCAAACATACAAGTTTATCTTCAGTTTGCAAACTAAGTGCTCTTTTCCTTTCACTTCAAAACCTTCTAATTCATATAAATATCTTTTTACAAGTCACCATACAAAAATACAATCTTGACATCAAGTTGCTCAAGCTCAAGATTCAACCTAGCTGCTAATACTAATACTACTCGAATGGAACTCATCTTCACAACTAGAGAAGAGATCTCACCAAATCGATGCCTGATTTCTGAGAAAAACTTTTCACCACCAATCGAGCTTTGTATCTCACTAGCTTATCACCATCTTTTTTTAACTTGATCACCAATTTATTTTTCAACAGCCTCATTATTTTTGAAAGTTTAACAAGATCATATATACTATATTTTCATAATGACTCCATCTCTTCTTTCATTGCTTTTAACTAGTGCTTCTATCTATAATAGTCTACACATTTTGAAAACTTTCTGGCTTTCTTTCACTAGTAACTAAAATAAAATCTGAACTTAGATACCTGATAGATAGCTTGTGTGGTCTAGTAAATCTCCTAGGTTGAGACTCTATACCACTTGATGTAGAATGTAGCTTTCTTTACTCAACACTCTCTGGTGGAGAGGATTGCTCATCCTACTTAAAACTGATTGCATCTAGGTCATCACTAATTGTGGCTGGCTCATTCATATCCTCAAGTTTTGTTTCTTGCTTATTTCCTCCATCTATAACTCTTTCTTATGAAACTATGTTAAAATATTACACTCAACAGTAACTCGTGTAGTATTTTTATTTTTTTCAAGGTCTGCTATGATTTTTTTTAATGAAAGACCACATCTTTGCTTCTAACTATCTTTCTCTTCATTTGATCTCATATCCTATAACCAAATTTCTCATCACTATATCCTACAAACACACACTGTGTGACTTTATTATCAAGCTTTGACCTCTGTTCTTTTGATACATGCATGAATGCTTTACTCCAAAAAACTTTTAAGTAAGAGTATGAAGCATCTTTCCATATTCACACTCTTTCTGAAATGTCAAAGTCCAAAGGAGCTTATGGTGATCTGTTAAGCAAATAACAAGATGTGTTGATTGCTTCATCCCTAAAATGGCTTTGGTAATTTTATCATCCTTAATATACACCTGACTTTTTTAACAATGGTGCGGTTCATCCTTTATGCTATACCATTATGTTACGGTGTTCTAAGTTCTGTCATCTCATGCCTGATCCCATGCTTTGAATAATACTTTTCAAAATTTTGAACAGTACTTTTCAAATCTTTGAATGTGTATTTCCTACCATTATCAATCTGAATATATTTCAAGGGTAGCCTTGTTATTTTTTTCACCATGGCATGAAATTTCTAAAATATTGTAATACTTGACTTTTATTTTTTAACATATATACTTAAGTCTTATATGAAGCATCATCAATAAAAGTAATAAAATACTTGCTACCACCAAATGACTCAACCTCAATGGGACCATATACGTTAGAATAAATCAATTTCAATATATTTTTTTCTTTAAGAACTCTTACGAAAAAAATTTTACGATGCTTACCAAATAAATAATGATCACATAAATAAAAAAATGTACCTTTGATCAAAAGAATAAGAGAATTCCTTGCTAAAACTTATAACCTATTTTCACTCATGTGTGCTAACCTCTTATGCCATAAGTTTGCTGAAACATTATCCTTAATGGCATTTATCTTATTGCCATTCAATTGCATCAATATCTTATATATTATGCAGCATA